CAAAATTGATGCATATATTTTATAATCTACATTTAACAGTGATATTGGCCTATAATTTTTCATTTCTTTTTCATCGGTATTTTGTTTATGTATTAATGATATTATAGCTTCTTTCCATGTTTCTGGAATAGTTCCTTGCTCTTTTGCCAAATTACATATGTCCTTGAAAATTAAAGCTAACTGTTCTTCAAAGATCCTGTAAAATTCTATTGGCAGACCATCCGGTCCTGGGGCTTTCCCTCTATTCTGTCTTTTAATCGCCTCTACTACTTCCATCATCGAGATACGTTGATTTAATTCTTTTCTTTGTTCTTCTGTAAATCTTTGTAACTTATGCTTCTGTAAATAGCTTTGTATTTTCTCTATATCCACTATGGTCTTGCCATAAAGAGCTCTATAGTATTCTTCCATACTCTTTTAATTTCTTCGTTTTGTACAAATCTCCTTCCCTTCTCTCCTCAGGACCTTGATAAAAGTTCTCTCCTTCTGTTGACGTAACCTATATGCCAGCCATCTTGTTGGTCTATTTGCATTTTCAAAAAAGTTTTGTTTGGCAAAGAATAGTTTCTTTGCCACTTCTTCCTTAAGTAAACAATTCATTTGATGTTGCAACATTATTAGTCTTCTTTTCTCTCCCTCCTTATTTGCTTTTATCATCATTATACTTTCTTGTACCTTTATCCGTTCTTTCAGATTCTCATATTTTGTCTGCTTTGCTTCCTGTATCAACAATCCTCTTGAGAATGCTTTCATTGTGTCCCACATCACTTCTATGGATGTTCCTTTTATTTTCATTTTATTTGTAAATGCCTCATTTCTCAAAATCCTTAAATTCAACGTCCATCTGCTTCTTTTGCCTTCAGTTTGTAATCCCATATATACTGGTCTGTGATCTGCATATGTCCCAACTTGTATTTCCGCTTCTATTAAGTCTTTAACCAAAACTGTTGAAATCCATATCATGTCTATTCTAGACCATGAATCATGTCTTGCTGAATAATATGTATATTGCCTTGAATTGTAATTTCTTATTCTCCATGCATCTACCAAGTTCAGGTCCAACAGCATTTAGTTAGAACATTTTCAAATTATCTTAAAACAAAAGGTCATTTTGAGACGGGCTTCCACCACTTAGGAGTTTGGAATACTTTATTTAGCTCCAGTTAAAGAGACCTTCTCATGGCTCTTTTCTACCTTCATACACCTCTTCAGCATGGAACAAAACATACCACAAGTTACATTAACTTTTTAAAGAGACAATTACCCATAACAGTCCTTGCACATGGTGGTGGAGGGGAGAACCACTTGTTTCAGGTGGCTCCTTTCCATGTTTCAAATCACCGGCAAGAGTTTCTTACCAGAAGCTCTCTTTGATTAGAGGAACAATTCCAACAATGCTACTATACTGCTTTTCAGCCATTGGTCTTGAATATATCCAAGAGGCTGCCTGTCAACCTTGCCCACCTCTTCAGAAATATCTCCTCCTCCTCTCCCCTGCCCTTGCACTTACCCATCTGAATCTTCAGAGCTGGAGTTATCGTGGTTCTGCTCAGCCTTCCACCTTTTATGCCTGTCAATGAGATCCGTCAAATAAGAGGTTTTCTTTGCATTGCGTATTATAAATTTGTGCTTCAGGAGTTCTTTTGCCGTGGGTCTCTTAAAGACAAAAAAAAGTTGCTTTACTAAATACTGTTCAGTCGATTTACAGGGATTCTACTGGGAGGAAGGGCGGAAGAAGCCTACCTAAGGTGTAAACATAGAATTACCAGGCAGATGTGTCTTGAGATCTTTACTCCGAGGTACCAAAGACTTAATTCTAGTATATTTATTTATTTTCTTCCCTCCCCAGCATATTGCTTTCAGTTGAAAATGATCATTAGGTAAGAGACAGACCACTATAGTCTTTAAAAGGGGGAAAGTACAGACTCACTGATGGACTCATCAACACAGTAAAGAGGGTCCAGGAACCCTCTCTCCAAGGGCCCTGTTCTAATTCCTCAGCTCATAATCACAACTTTCTTTTTTTCTACTTCCAGAAACAGCCATTTCAGGAAAGGGCGGGTGGGGAGAGAGGAGAAGAAGAGGTAATGAAGCAAACAGCGTATTGGCTGTGACTGCTCTTGCCATTCAAACAGTTCTACACAAGAGTAGCTGCCGATACAGAATATAAAAGGATCAGAAAAATTAGACACTGTTTAAAGATATGGGTAGTTTTCTTGATTTTTCCAAACCTACTAGGATCCTAAGTTCACTAAGAGAAGTTCAACAACAAAGTTTATTATATGATCAACAGACCTTTCAATAATACAATGTTAGAATAAAATATAGCAATTGTGCATGTTTGATTAACAGAGTTCTTCCACCATCTTATTTCAATGGTCATACTGAAAAAGACAGCCCCTTCAGCGTTATGTACATTAGCCCCAGCAAGGAAAAGGGTAACTAGCTGTTCTGCTGAATAGCCCAGTACTAAAGCAAAGAAGGGAGCAACTGCAAACTAAGATAAGTGATTTTGTGGAAATGGAACAAATGTGTCATCTGGATAAAACGTCGGGAGAAACAAAGCAGAAAGCAAGTGAGAAGGCCATTAACAGGACATATACAGATTGTACCTCATGCACCATGTTAAATAGTGATGGCACTACTTGCTATGATTGAATGCCCCCCCCAGCTCTCCTATCTTACCCAAACACTGAACATAAAAACTAACAAGTTACACTGCAGTTTAATTTTAAAAATCCAGTAAAATTCCTTTTTAAACATGGGATGGGAAGGAGAAAGAAAAATATCCAAATAGTGGGTAGAGTCTCAAAAGTGTTGCAGCAAAATAAATCCCTTGTTTTTCTTATCTTCTACTGATGCACGAGACATACACATTCATTCAAATACAACACTGAAATGCAAGCCACAGTTCGGGAAGACACACTTACAAAGCTTGGATCCTTGTTCAAGCAGGCCTCGACAAACTCTTTCAGTGGTTTACTGTAGCTTCCTTCCAATGTTGGCGGATTGTTCTTTGGGATCAGGAACAAAACTTTCATCGGATGCAGTTCTGAATGAGGTGGCTCCCCTTTTGCAAGTTCTATGGCTGTTATGCCCAGTGACCAAATATCTGCCTGGAATACAAAACAATCAAATAGCAAGAGTGACAGAAAAGAGAAGAGCCTGCTGCCGAAGTCCTTTGTTTTATTGTTATGTAAGGCAAGCGTACACTCTCCTCTGCACCTTAAATTTATTTATTCAGAATAAAGCAATTGTGGGCAACTTACTTAATGAGTATGTTTACAACATATCATATCTCTGGGAGAATAGAGACTACTATGATAACCAGGCATGTGCATGAGCAATAATGGGCAGAGAACAAGAGGAAAACAGTAATCAAAAACCCACCTAGGCAAATCTCAACTGGGCAGAATATGTCATTCACCTAATCAAGACAAGAGAAGAATGGAAGCTTCTGGGGCTACCTAAATATTTCAAGCAGCCCAATGTTAATCTTACCTTTGAGTCATATGCTGACTGCTTTATTACTTCTGGTGCCATCCAAAATGGTGTTCCCACAAAAGTGTTCCGCTTTATTTGTGTATCAGTAAGTTGTCCCGCTACACCAAAGTCTGCTAGTTTTACTTCTCCTTGTTCTGAAAGCAGCACATTAGCAGCTGGAAAATATTAAGACATTTGTCATATGAGCAATTAGCTTAAGATGTTTGAAACACTGAAGAGAGTGAGAAGATAACGGCAAGAAAAGTAGCTCCATAAGCTGCCTTCCTCCACTAATATCACCTGCAGGACTGAAGTCAGGAGTGGGGAGGTCAGTCGTTGCTATGGCTACTGCCTCAGAGGGAAGACTTCCAGGTTCCCTTGGCATTCATACTAAGTGCCTGATGTGCACCTTTAACAACACACCTGGAAAGCATGGCGAAGACACTGTAGTCAAGGACATCAAATGCTGGGAAACAAGTGTTAAGTCCGCGCTAAAAGATGCCCATCTCTGTTAAGATCAGAAATTCCAATCTTGGAGAGCCCTGGAGATAATTAAATAATAGAGAGATCTCCAGGCCCCGTTGGCATTCGTGCCAGGTGCTCAGTTAAGGAAACAAACCTGGGTGAGCTCAACAAGGTGTCTTTTTGTTCTGTACCCACCTAGATATGGGAAGAGAAGCCAATCAAGTATTTATTGAGTGAACTAAAATGACTGTTGCTGGAAACACCAAAGAAATCTGAAGGACTGTAGAATCCCTAATCGTATCCAAGATAGATTCAAGTGGGTAGCCTTGTTGGTCTGAAGCAACAGAATGAAGTTTGAGTCCAGTGGCACCTTTAAGTCCAACAAAGTTTAATTCTGGATATAGGCTTTTGTGTGCATGCAAACTTTGAGGAATTAAGATTTGTTGATCCTAAAGGTACCACTGGACTCAAACATTGTTCTAATCATATCTAAATTACTGATTTTTTCTTCTTTTTATAGACAGGCTGACTAAGCCTCTAGAATTGTTTACCAAGTTTATAATTATTTGTTTGTCCACTTAATTAACTGGGCAAAACCTTGATAATATTGATGGAAATTGGACAACAATATAAATTGAAGGGAAAGTTATTCCAACAGATGTAAATGAATTATCAAAGAGGTGGGGAAGAAGAATTGTTTAACAGAAGACTGTGTGTATATTATCTCTATATAGTTGATTTATTAATCTCTTTGCTCCTATGGAATTAACTGGATGCAACTTGATGGCAAAAATTTGTAGGATTTTTTACTTGAACTGTTTTAAATCCTTGATTACAGAATTGGTCATTAAACCAAAAGGAAGTACTGTAAGATAGAAAAAAATGACAAAGCAAAAAAGAATAATCAGAGAACCTCAGTTCTTGAAAAAAAAATAACCATTAAAGAGAACAAAGTTAATAAGAGAATGAAGACAAAGTGAAGCAATGAATGAATAGAAGATCTTCTCTTCATATAAAGTAAGATCAGTAGTTGAATTTAATGACAGATTTTGGTACAGTATAAAGAATATGGAAAGGAGTGGGAAGAGATAAAGCTTAGGGAAATAGGGAGAGATAGAACATGGAAAGAAATCAGACAATTATCACCACTACCACCAACTATTATTCCTATTAACATCTATGGTAGTAGGCCGGTCCTGCATGGAGATCGAGCTACAGCTTCGTGGGAGGCCAGAATACCGCTGATTTGGGGCTGCAACATTACATTTTATAGCACGCCACGTTTAACTTATTGAACAATCATAGCTGCAAGCACTTTAATTGTTTAATTGTTAATTATTGTATGTTTGTTTTAACTGTTTTTAAATGTTTTATATGACCAGGCACATGGTGCCGAAAGTGTAAGCCACCCTGAGCCCATTCGCAGAAAGGGCGGGATATAAATATAACAATAATAATAACAACAACAACAACAACTCAAAATCAGAAAATATTTAACAAGTGTTGAAGGTTCTCAAACATTACCTTTAATATCTCTATGTATTTTCTTTTCAGAATGCAAGTAATCAAGTCCTTTCAGAATCTCTCTCAATATTGTAGCAATCTGGATTTCATCAAGAGAGCCAGGTTCTAACTAGAAAAAACAAACACAAATTATAACCACAAAAACTCAGGAAATAATAAATCCTAAATACCAGTTGTTAAAAAAATAAGTCTAGGATTATCCCACAAAATGAAGAGAATATTAGAGGCAAAGGGGTGAACACGGAAACCAAACAAAACATAACAGTTCTGAATTAAACAGCACTTGAGTACTGGGCTGAGAAGGAATGAATTCTATTATCATGTTTCTAAATGCCAAGAACAAACAGATAATTAACATTCGACCTTCTTGATCAACTTAGTTTTTCCAGTAACAGAAAAAGCTAAACCCTCTGTGTATATTATTTATTTAATTAATTTATAGCCCACTCTCCTGAAGACAATGCATGTATCAAGTATGGGTGGTACTCAGTTGGAAGTTAATTCCGACTCAAGGGTCTGACAATTTGCTAATCTGAAAAAAGTTTAAAATGTCTGTTTAAAACATACCCCAAAACTGCCAACCAGGCCCCAAGGCAATTTACAAATCTTGGTGTATTTGGGATATTACACAGCTCCTTCCTGACACCAAGTACAGAAGATGACACCACCTTGAGATGAACACCCCAGATCAGAGATTCTCTCCCCAGGCCCTTTAAAAAGTAGCACACAGTAAAACAGGAATCCAGTCTAACATTAAGGTGTTGGCAACCATCAGGGACAAAAACTGAATGTAGGTGTAGGATCTGTATATCACATAAATGTATCATAAATGTAGGTCTGAGATCCTACTCATTTCCTAGTTTTCTGCTTATGGGCATTCAGCGTTGCATGCATACTGGGCAGCAGTGGATTAAAGGTTAGGAAACACTGCATTAATTCTGAATCAGAAATGCTTAGTAAATTTCTTCCATTTAAAAAAAAAATCCCAGGTTTTCAATTTCCCTTACAGAACAAAATGAAAGTTATACCACATTCTTCTGAGGGGCATTTTCAAAGTCAATTTCTACCATACCAGTTTGCTCAGCGCAAAGAAGTGATTCTCTCCCTAAGCAACTAATGTGACCCCCTCAGTAAGGTATTTTTCCAAAGATCCAACTGTCAGCTCACTGGAGAATTACCTTCCTAATAATTTCAGCTGGGTAGCCATGCTTAGTCCAGTGGCACCTTTAAGACCAACAACATTTTATTCAAGGTATAAGCTTTCGAGTGCAAGCACACTTCTTCAGATCTGAAGAAGTGTGCTTGCACATGAAAGCTTATACCTTGAATAAAGTTTTGTTGGTCTTAAAAGTGCCACTGGACTGAAGCATTGTTCTTCTTCCTAATGATTATTATTACTGACAAAGCCCAATAGCAAAGGCCATTTAGGGGGACAAAACAGGCATGAAAAGATTACAAACCAGCAAGGACAAAATTCTTACATGGCAAATTTCAGAACTGCCTTTATGGGTTACTTCCTGCTTAATGGACAATGATCTTTTCATTGCCTAGTATACAAGGGCTTAACACTTCACTGTATTTTGCATACAAGCATCTCAGATCCAGCTTGCACAAGAGCTCTTGAATAAGCAGAAATTTTATGCTGAATCCAACCCATTCTCAAGGAGTCACCTTCTCATCCTCGACTGTGTTATGACTGTACCTTCCAACTTTTTATACCCCAAATACTTATGTAGGCAGACTCTTATTTACTGCCAGGGTCAACTGCTAGAAGAGCCTCCTTGTTGACCTGTCTTTAGTGTTCCAGAAGATCCATGTCTATATAGTTCCATTATTTTAAATTTGTAGAGCAAAACTATGCTATCTGTAGATAAGCACTATCTTCTACAGGCAGACTCCCCCATATCCCCTGCTCTAGTCTCATATCTGGCCCCAGCCATTCTCTATATCATCTTCTCCTCCACAATTCCTGAGACTTGTCTTTTCCTGTAAAAGAGATCTATGATACACCTATGGAATATATTTTCACCCTGTTCCTATCAGGCAGAATGCAACTGCTAGAAGTATTCTCTTACTTCTCTGGACAGAAAAATGCTGAATCCAAATAAAAGGACGAACATAAAGTATTACAACAGAGGTACACAACCCACAGCATGTGTGCCAAGCTTTAGCATGCCATACCATTTTGCTCAGAACATGGGGTTGATTCTCTCCCTAAGCAACCACTGTGCGCCCCTGACACACTTGTAGTGATGCTGGGGATAATGGAATGGGAGAAGGTGGCAAGACTTATACCCATCATTGCCACCCCAACTGGTGCAGTTGTCAGAAGGGTCCATGGAAAGCCCAATGCACTGGCAGCACCACTGGGTTCAGCTTCCTTCTAGTGTGCCTGGCTATTTTTGTTTGCCTGTACAGCAGAATTTTTAAAAGAGGTGTTTCTTTTTTCTTGGCATTCAGACCAAAATGGTTGTCTCCACCAGTATTCAAGAGTGTTACTGCCTACAAAGCGAGTAAAGTATTTTTAAAGGTTGCAAGCATAGTATTTCCTTTCCTTTTATGAATCTTAAATTCTTGTTGCCATAACGGCTCTCTCCCAGCCCAGAACAATAATTGCACATTCATATGAGTTTATAGTCTCTAGTTTTATTAATAAAAACTGTTTACTTACTAGGTCAAGAGCAGAACCTCCACCAAGATACTCCATGATAATCCATAATTTTGTATCCTATGGAAATAAAATTCCATCTAAATTGAAACAAACTATAAGAACTCTTCACTATCAAATAGCTTTTAGCTGTATGAGCTGCAGGTTTCATATTACATTTGTGTTCAGGTATGCATGCTAAACACAAATAAATGAAAAACAAGCTAATTAAAAGGACACACTTGATATATAAATAATATCACAAATAGCACACATTTTCCTTGATATTTCTAGACAATTAAAAGTGCTTACGATGTTTTTCACTAAACAGCATAATATGAGACACGCAAGTATACTTGGGCACATGAAGCCGTCACCCTTCCCCTCCTCCTCTCATGCGCAAAGACAACACTGAAGATTTTTTGTTTGTTTCAGGAAGTATTGAATCTTACCACAAGTTGCTGTGATGTCTACATTTGGGCTCTTCAACAAATCGGGGTTTGTTTCTTGCCCACAAATAAAGATTCTAAACCAAAGTTAAATCCTGAATATACCATGGTTAATAAATAAAAATATGGGGAGGTGAAATTAAAGTATTTATTCCCTACCTTCCCTTTTGGCTCCAGGTGACTTGCAAATAGTAATTAAAACATTAAAAGGGAAAACCAAATAAGATTAAAAACCCTTAAAATATGTCTGCTGCTCATTTCTTATCAAAAGCCCTGGCAAACAAGCATGTCTTGCTACACCTGAAAACCTTCAACAAAGGGACCCCCCCCTCACCTCTTCAGGGACTCCCCTTCACCTCATTCCACAGAGTAGGAGCCTGAAGACTGTAGATGGCACACAGGAACATGTGGTGAAGACGTTCCTTGAAATATGTGGCCCTAGGTCATGAAGGGCTTTAAAGGTCATAAGCAGCACCTCAAGCTGAACTCAAACAAACTGGCAGCCGGTGTAGCTGCCTCAAAACGGGCAAGATATGTTTCCATCAGCTGGCCCCTGACAGCTATCTGGGACCTGCATTGTGAAGCAGCTACAGTTTCCAGAAGGTCTTCAAAGGCAGGCCATATAGCACGCCATTACAGTAGTCCGACACAAGGTTACAAAAGCATGGATCAGGGCAGTCAGACTGGCTAAGTCTAAGAAATGAGTCAGATGGCTAACCAGTTAAAGGTGATAGAAGGTTCTCCTGGTCAACAAGTCCACAAGCACCCCCAAACTTTTTCCCCATTAGGGTAACGCAGATTTTAGTGAGATAATGGCATGAAAGAAAACAGTTAAAGAACCCCTTTCTCTACTGACTGTTCCCCTTGATTCAGAAACCCACTCAGAAAAAAAAACTTAACACAATCATTGGGCTACACATAACACATAGGTCTGCCATAACAGACAACAAAGGAATCTTGATAGGATTGTTGGATGAGAATCAGGTGGGCCAGCAGCAAGTGTACCTTTTATTCAAAAAAATGCCTGTCCCAGTCAAAAGAGACACAGGTAAGACTTGTCTCTGACACAACAATGGGCTTCATAGGAATTTCGAAACAGTGAACAGCACCCTCCTGACACTACCAGAAGTTCCAGACTTAGAGAACAGGCAGGGATTTTTCTCATCTGACCACATGCTGAGCTTCAGAGCAACTTGGAAACAGCCAGACTGCTCACTGCTTATAAACATCACCGCAGCTTAATACACAAAATCTTCACAACAAGAGAGAATTAAATGAGCCCATCTGATTCCCATGATCAAGCCTGACTCCTGACCATATATTCACACTTGGATTCAAACTGAACCTCTTGGGATTTAAGAAAGTTTTCTAGTCCTTATGATTGCAGAAATAAAAGGCACAACATTTATTTTCTCTTCATATTATCCATTCAGCAAGAATAATGTTTTTATATTTCAGGACAAGACTGCTGTAAAATAAATACAGCATACGCCTATCACAGCTTAACAGGTTTATGAAGATGCTTTCCATACAGTATCTCATGCGCTCCTATTCCTAGTAAGTTATCTGAAGCGCCAACAGTCCTTGGAGCTTAATATGTCTCCCACCCCTTCACTAGTACACTAATAAATCTTCATTTGGCATCAGAAATCCCATATTCTTGTGGCTCAATCTCTCTGCATGCTTCCTGGATCCAAAGCAGTATGCATCTCCATAGGTCCAGCAGAGCTCCTATCTTTTTCAAAGGCCTGCAACAGCCCCCACCATCATTGAACACATGGAACTTCAAACACAGTTTGCAATGAAGTGCAACACTGCTGATAGAAGACAAAAGCTGGCATTGACTGCACACACCCGTATATCATAGCCAAAAGATGTGCTTCGTTCGTTTGTTATATTGTTTCTCAATTAAATCTTATTTACAGATGAAAGTTTATTTTTAATACTCTACTCATTTGACAGTTTGGATCAATTCATTTAAGGCAGATTTATACAACCGTTCCCAACACATACTCCACTGAAGCTATATGCCTTTGAAAAGCTATCACAGATTAGTTACCAGGGACAGAGCTTTATCACTCAGCCAACACAGTATCCAGCCAACAGCAGCAGAGGTTATTTACAACTGATAACCTTACCTCGGCTGACCCTGCAAATGTCCAACCAGCTTTTCAATTAATCCAAGTCAGAAAATGAAGACAGAGGTCTAAATCTAGGAAGGCAAAGCCTGGTAATTAAGCTGCTCAATATACTCTGAGAACTTCAGCCTTTAATGCAGATTTTCAGAGAAACAAAATTATCAGAAATGGCTCCACACTATTCTGAAGACTGTCTGAAGGGAGGGCCCAAAAACTGTCCTACCAATCAGCCAAGATAAAAGTTAGGACATTAAGATAAATGTCCACTAATATATTTTTTACAACCAAAGAGAAGGCCAGAAGTGTGGAACCACCACATTAGGCAATATAATAAAATTATTTAGATAATTTAATTTAGATAATTAGATAAATAAAATTTAGACATTAGGCAATGTCTAAAAGATTATATAAAAGGGAGCTGCGGTGGCTCAAGTGGTTAAGACGCTGAACTGCAGGCTCTGGAAGGTTGGTAGTTCAGCAGTTCAAGACCCGAGTGTGCCGCATGACGGAGTGAGCTCCCGTCTCTAGTTCCAGCTCCTGCCAACTTAGGAGTTCGAAAGCAAGACATTGCAAGTAGATAAATAGGTACCACTACAGTGGGAAGGTAACAGCGTTCCGTGCGCCTTGGTGTTTAGTCATGCCGGCCACATGACCACGGAAACGTCTTCGGACAGCGCTGGCTCTTCGGCTTTGAAACGGAGATGAGCACCGCAACCCTAGAGTCGGATTCGACTGGCTTTCGAGCAAGGGAACCTTTACCTCTAAAAGATTATAACAAGACAGGCATGACCATCTTTCCATTCTGTTTAACATTAATGGA